AGACCAAGTTAAAACTAATTAATGGCCTGCTATATAACTCACAGAAAAAAAAAAAAAAACCTGTTCAGTTATCCAAGTTTGCTGATGCTTTCAAAACAAAATGATGACTAAATAGTAATGTGTACTCCAAAGAACGAGTGATATACCAAGATGAATAGGATTTAGGCACTATTTATCACAGTTAAGCCATAGCCTGAATACCATAATGCTGATTACTTAAATTCATTATGCAGACAGTATAATCTAGCAGTCAGTAATGTGCCTGTGAGAAGGAAGAAACTATTTCTATCGTTTTAAACTGAATTGTAGGCAGAGAGTGATTGACAAGATTGTGCTTTCTCTCATTGCTAAGATACGGTACTAACACTTGCAGCAACATTTTGTCTGAAGCAAAGTCCATTAAACCCACTGAATTCTTACATTCCACTGTTTAAAGTATTCAGGAGAACTGTGAAATTTGCCACTGCTGCTGAAGGACCCATTTTCTACCTTCAGTCTTTCAGTAATATCGTGACATTTAACCTAGGCTGAAGCTGATGCTTCTCAAACTGAAAATGCATTTTTTTGATTCCTCTAGACTCTTAGCTCTTCAAGCTTGCTGGAACCAGAGAAGCATGCAGTGTTTTGTGATAAATGCCTTCCCAAAGCTTTCCTGCCTAGAACCACCAGATGAATAAGAATACTTAGTGCCTTTCAACTTCCAGTCCATTCAACTTCCAGTCCGGAACTACTTTATCAAAGGTAGGAAGTGTGATTTGCCAGATGTGTGGAAACGAAGGCACAGAAAGGTTAAAAGGTTTGTTCATAGGCATTTCAGCTGTAAAAGGGATCTTTACACTTTTGTAACGCTTAGACTTTGGGATTGTGAAGCTCACTCAGCACCAAGGTGCGGGTTAGGAACAGAGCATAGTATCTTTGTATGCAGGAACTTGAGCAAACCATTGTATATTTGTACTCAGTGGATATAGGGGTCTGTCGGTCTGTATGTGTACAACGTGCTGGTGATGCTTGCATCGTCTCTGTTCAAATAGCCGGTGGTGCACGGGTGCGCTTCCAGCTTCTATTTATGTGACCCGTCTTTGTCCTGTGGAATAAATAATAGCTCATTTTTATGGTGTTAATACTCACTCCTGAGATTCTTGTGAGCAGAGTGGTGTTACAGGTCTGCACGCAACTATTTATAGAAATTACCAGGTATGAAACAATAGTTTTGTTCTGACCTATCCATTGCTCTTTGGGTGGCAGGAAATGTTGCACTCCTGAGCTCCTCTTTCTTCAGGGGAAATTCTGTAATATTTTGGGAAGAAAAAGGGACAGAAATAGTCAGCCACAACTTCTGAAATTTTTGGCTTAATCAAGGTACCTTTACAATGCACTCATGTTCTGAATGAACCAACTTAATTGTTCTGAAAATACTGAGCTGACAGTTCTGCTTATGAGAAATGTTCACTTTCAGCCAGGCAAAAAGGGCAGATCCTAATGAATAAGGCCTGCAGTGCTTATTTTGCTTCTTATGCTATCTAGTACTGAAGAAAATCAGCAAAGTGTTTTATGTACGTGTGCAGGGCTGCAGTGACTGCTTTTAACCTTTCAGACGGTTTGTGATACAACTGACCACTAGGAGCTGTTTTAGTGTCTGATGCCAAGGCTAGTTAATCACTTTAGTGTCGCATCTTCAAATGTAGTGTTGGGGTAAAGAGAATGGGAAGAATTCTGTTTTATGCCTAATGAACCCCCTTATGCCAGCAGTGCAAAATTTCACTTTCTGTTTCTAGGTGATGTACTTTCCCTCCCAGCCCCAAGCAGTTTCCTCTGAGTCACATACTGTCCTCTTTACCGTCTTAGCAAGAAATTAGTGAGAACAGGAAAACATAAAGCCCAGTAGCAAATCAGCTTCCTATCTGGCAGCTCTGCGGACCAGCAGCTGTTTACCTCCAGGTAGCACTTTTCACTCACTGGTTGCTTTTTTAACTTTTTATATAGTAGTCATGAAG